GTTCCCCTCCGGGGCCCACAGAGGGGAGGGAGAGCAAGAGGGGAGGGTGGAGCTCTCGGGAGCCGGGCGGCTTTCTTCGGCTTGACCTTCCGCGCGGAGTCCCCAGGCGCGCCGTGGCGAAGCTCGTCGGGCTGGGCCTCCGGGCCTCAGCTCACAGCAAGCCCCGGCAGGGACGCGGGCCCTGCGGCTGGGGACACCGCCTGCGCATCGTATCCGGGTTTCTTTTCTGTTCTGATCGTGGGCATATTTGTTCTTTCTCACAATTTTTCTTTAAAGGCCTCTGAGCCCTAACATCGAATATTCAAAAGTAGCCATTTGTCATTTCCCTGTTTGATTTCCTTTTGGCCATAGAACAAATGTTTCATAGTGGGACTTTTGTTCACTCTTTAAACTTTTTCTCTTCCATTGGAGAAAAGAATATCACTGCCCATCTATTTGTTTAGAATTAAGCTTTGCCTTCACTTTAGAAATATCCAAATCAGCTGGCATAGTCCGTTGAAAATAATAGAAATTGCAAGTTTCAGATTGTGTTCAGTTTGGTCCTTAATTTTTCCAGGAATGACGTGTTCTGCTGTAGTTGCAAAAACCTGTATAACAACACTCTTCATTCTAAGTATATGTTAAATTCATTGTGAAGTGTTGGGATTACAAAACAAGCATAAATTTAATCCTGACATTTTGACTATTTGGAGATTTAATCAATTCTACAAATTTTCTCTTCCCTTTTATTTTGAATAGTTTTATCTAGGCTTGGTGGCTCTGTCTATAATCCTAACATTCAGAGAGCCTGAGATTGGAGGAGTACCTCATCAAGTTCAAGGCTACCCTTTATTGCATAGTTACAGCTAGGTACACACTGTAAGGTACTATCTCTCTCAGAATAAGAACTCACATACCTTCAAATTCACCTTCTAAAACTATCAAAATTGGGCCTAGTAGTTCAACTTTGTAATCTTCGCTCCCAAGGCTGAGATAGGAGAAATTACAAATTCAAAGCCTGCCTTGATTACAGATTGAGTTTAAGGCCAACCTGAGCAACTTAGTAGTGAGGCCCTATCTCAGAAAAGTGAGAAGCAGGTTGGGGATGTAGCGCAGTGGTAGAGTGCATACCCTGCCGGAGATAAGACCTTCAGTTTACCCTGTAAGACTGCAAATGAACTCACCATGCTGATGCATACCTGTAATCCTAATACTTTTGAGTAGAGACAGGAGGGTCAGGAGTTGAGTTCATTCTTGGCTACATATTGATTTCAAGTCCAGCCAGTCATGGCTACACAAGAGCTTGTACCAAGAAAGAAAAGGAAAAAAAAACTAGCCTGGGAAGGTGGTACATGCCTTTAATCCCAGCAAGACTCAGGAAGAAGATGGATCTCTGAGTTCAAAGTCAGGGCTACTCAGAGAAACACTGTCTGAAAAAGAAAAAAAATACTACAAATATTTGGCTGGTCTGGTGTCCAAGGAGGCCAGAAGAAGCTGTCAGGTCCCCTGGAACTGGAGTTACAGTGATTGTGAGCCTTCATGTGGGTGCTGGGAACCAACCAAACCTTGGTCCTCTGGAATAACAGCCAGTGATCTTAACCACAGCGCCATCTCTCCAGCTCACTTTTTCTTTCTTTTTTTCTTTTTTCTTTTTTTTTTCGAGACAGGGTTTCTCTATGTAGGTTTGTGCCTTTCCTGGATCTTGCTCTGTAGACCAGGCTAGCCTTGAACTCACAGAGAATCGCCTGCCTCTGCCTCCCAGCGCTGGGATTAAAGGCGTGCGCCACCACAGCCTGGCTCTTTGCCAATTATTATTATTACCAGTCTTTTGTTTTGTTCTGTTTGAGACAGGTCATGCTATGGAGTACAGACTGCACATAAAGTTAGCATCATGCCTGACCATCTGTGTGCCACCACACACAAGTGACATTCTATTACAGCCATCCTATTGAGCATGAAGTAGTGGCATCTCTTATGGGTTTGGTTTGCATTTGTGTGATTTCTAGTGAAGTTGAACACTTGTTCATTTGTTTCTTGACCAATTATCTTTGGAGAAATGTCCGTTTGTATCCTTTCCCTATTTAAAAGTTGGATTAGGACTGGAGAGAGGACTCAGCAGTTAAAGGCTAAGGCTCACAACCAAAAAGTTAGATTATATGGCAAGTTATAAAGCTTGATTATGTACTCTTTTTTTTTTAAGTTTATTACACTTATCTTTGTGGGTGGGGGGAGAGATAGTGAGTGTATATATGCATTTGGGTGCTCGTATATGTCAAAGGACAAGTTGTGAAAGTCAGTTTTCTCCTTCCTCCATGTGAGACCCAGGAATTGAACTCAGGTTATTAGACTTGGCTGTATAGGAGAGCATTTATCCTGGATTGGATCCTCTGCAGTGGGGTGGGATGGAGGGGGGGATGGGATGGAATATTGCAAGTCTCTTATCTCTACATTTAATTCCTGGGAGTAAATCATTTGAATTTGCCAGGCGGTGGTGGCCCACCTTTAATCCCAGCACTGGGAGGCAGAGGCAGGCGGATCTTTGTGATTTCGAGGCCAGCCTGGTCTACAGAGCGAGATCCAGGAAAGGTACAAAGCTACACAGAGAAACCCTGTCTCGAAAAACCAAAAAAAGAAAAAATCATTTGAATTTATATACATGCTTGCTTGCTTTGTTATTATATACAGTGTTTAAAACCGGAGTGTAACCATACCAGGCATGGTTTTTTCTGCCACTTGTTTTTTCCTCACTATGTATCTTGGACACATTTCTCACCGTTTCCTGTAGATCTCTCTTTTTACTGCTGGCTAGAGATCAAACCCACAGTCTTGCAGATGGCAGCCAGGAGCTCTAGAGCAGAGCTGTGTCTTGAAAGGTGCTTTCTTTTTTCTGTCTCCCCCTTCATTTAGTAGTAGCATATTTAACACATCTTTTTGGTGGACTTCTAGACTGTTGATGGCTTTTTGCTGTTGCAAATACGTTCCAGTGAACTGTGCACACTTATACAAGTGTTTTTAAATTTTTCGTTATAATTTATTTATCTGAGGGAGGGTATATACTTGCTGCAGTGCCTGTGTGGAGGTAGAGGACAACTTGAGGGCATCTCTCTCCTTCCCCTCTGTGTGTCCCGGGGATCAGATTCAGGTCATCAGTGGCATCTGCTGAGCCACCTCACAGGTCCTCAGGAGTGTTTAATAAATACTGAGAATCATATGGTTGGACATCTTTGTGTTTGTTTATTTTATGGATGGACATGATAGCACATGCCTTTAATCCCAGCACTTGAGAGACAGAGGGAGGCGGATGTCTGAGTTCAGGCCAGCCAGGATTGCATAGTGAGACTATCTCAAAAAATCAACCAAACAAAAAGATTTATTACTTTAATTATGTATTTATTGATGGGTCTGTATATGAGTGTTGTCCATGAATGCCTGTGGAGGCTAGAAGCATCACATCCTCTGAAGCTGTAATTACAAGCAGTTGTGAGCTGTCTGATGTGGGTGCTGGCAATTGAAGTTGGTCCTTTCCAAGAGCAGTTTGTGAGCCTTCTTTTTAACAGTTGGTACCAAGTTGTCCAATTACAGTGTAAATTTTGTTTAACCTCTACACTGTACTTTAATGTTCAGTTTTTGTCCTGTGTAGCTCTGGAATGAGGTTTTGGGTTGTCTTGTTTTGTTTTGTTTTGTTTTTGAGGCAGAATATCCTGGTGTAGCCTTGACTGTCCTGGAACTAGCTCTGTAGAATAGGCTGACTCACAGGGATCCTCCTACCTCTGCCTCCCAAGTATTGGGATTAAAGGCATATGCTACCACACCCAGCTCTGGAATGAGTTTCTTAAAGATGAAGGTTGCTGGGCATGCTGGTGTTAAAGCGCTCAGGTAGCATGTATGAGGCCTTGAGTTCTGTTGCACCTCTAAAAGAGGGGGCAAAATAATAGTAGCAACATATACAACAAGGAAGACTTTTTGCTTTTGTTTTTTAAGACAGGGTTTCTCTGTGTAGCTCTGGCTGTCCTGGAACTCACTTTGTAGACCAGGCTGGCCCCGAACTCAAGGAGATCTGCCTGCCTCTGCCTACCAAGCTTTGCAGATACCACCACCACCACCAGGCAGGAAGACTTATTTCTTATTTCTCTATTTCTCTGATAGCCTACACTTGGTGGTGAAGTGTGTATTCACATATGTCAACATTGTATACACACACTTCTGAGGAGCTTGCTGATGGTAAGGATGGTAGGGATTTTTTGTTTTTGTTTTTTTCGAGACAGGGTTTCTCTGTGTAGCTTTGCACCTGGAACTCACTCTGTAGCCCAGGCTGGCCTCAAACTCAGAGAGATCCTCCTGGCTCTGCCTCCCAAGTGCTGGGATTAAAGGTGTGCGGCACCACCGCCCGGTTGATGGTAAGGATCTTAAGGAGAATGTAAGGATGGAATTACAAAGGTAGGTGGGAAACTGAGCTTCTGCTCAATTGGGGTTAATTCTGCAAACAGTGTGATGAGGGGTTGGGGGGGGTGGGGGTGTTCAATTCTGAAAGGATTCTATTGTAAGATTTCTTTGCAAGGGTCCCAAGTTCTTCCTCTTCTTTAGAGGAACCTAAGCTAAAATGTTTTTGGTTGTTGTTTTGTTTTGTTTTTCAGAGCTGAGGACCAGGGCCTTGCCTTTGTTAGGCAAGCATTTTAACACTGAGTAAATCCCCAACCTCTGGAATATTTTAAAGATTTATTTTTATGTGTGTTGGTATTTTACCTTCATGTATATGACTGTGTAAGTGTGCCAGGTCCCCTTGAACTGGAGTTACAGACAGTTGTAAGCTACCATGTGGGTGCTGGGAATTGAACCTGGGTCCTCTGGAAGAACAGCCAGTGCTCTTAAGCCACTGAGCTGTCTCTCCAGCCCTGTCCATAAATAAATAAATAAGATGAGGGCTGGAACGATGGTTCAGCAGTTAAGAGCCTTCCAAAATAGGAATAAAATGTTCAAATCTAGGCTGGAGAGATGGCTCAGAGGTTAAGAGCACTGGCTGTTCTTCCAGAGGACCCGGGTTCAATTCCCAGCAACCACATGACAGCTCACAACTGTATGCAACTCCAGTTCCAGGGGATCCAACACCCTCACATTGACATACATGCAGACAAGACACATTAAATAAATTTTTAAGTCTTTTGGTAGATAGTTTTTTATTTCTTTTGGGTAGATTCTAGGAATAACTGGAGTTTCAGTATATCTACAGAGGATTTACAAAAAAATTAAAGGACACACTAACAGATAGTGAGAAATCATTAAGTTTCTGTGTATGTTTGTGTATGTCTTGAACAGTGAATCACACCCTCAATCCTCGGAAAGTATTATTAGCAACAGCTTAAAAACAGAGTTGTGACAGGAGAGGGTAATAGCTGGGATAGATGTGATATTTTGCTTGCTTTATTTATACTTTTTCATAGATAGATAAATGGATAGATGCTGATGCTAAGAAACTGGGGTAATTGAGTCATTCATATAAGGCCCCTAAGCTCCCTAAGGAGGAAAGACTGACAAATGTAGAGAATGGGAGGGATGAAGTGCAATCTGACACTATAATTTTGAGGTGGTGTGGTTTATATTATTGTTTTGAGACAGGGTTTCACTGTGTAGCCCTGGGTGGCCTAGAACTGTATAGATCAGACTAGCCTCAGATTCACACAGATCCTACCTCTGGAGTGCTGGGGTTAAAGGCGTGCAGCTAGACACCCTACCAGTAAGTTTCTCAGTATTGCAGAAAGCAAACCTGGGCCTATTTGCCAAACTGCTATGTGTAGATGCGCCCTTCAGCTGTGTCATTAGTATGTCTTGCTGGAGTTTTAAGAGATGTTTGTTAGTTTTAGTAACCCTACCCTACATATTAAGTGAAATTTCATCTTCCATTAAGCACCATTCACATCTTTAATAAATTTTTTTGTGATTCACAAATGTTATTTGCAGCTTTTTTAAAAATAAAATGTTTTCTTGCTTGTTTTGTTTTTTTGAGATAGAGTTTCGCTGTGTAGCTCTGACTGTTCTAGAATTTATTATGTAGACCAGGCTGCCTCTGCCTCCTGAGTGCTGGGATTAAAGATATGTGTCACCATGCCCGACCAAGATTTTACATTTGTATGTTTAATGTGCTCACTGGTGTGCATGTGTGGATGACTTGTAGAAGCTAGTTCTTTCTTTCCTCTTAAGGGAATTCTGGGGATGAAACTCACGTTACCAAACTTGAAAGTAAGTGCTTTCCCTGCTAACCGTCTCAGCTTCTATTTCATGTGCGTCTCTCCTTGTTCTCAAGTGCTCGTGTTTTTCTTCAAGGTAGAAAATGTTGTTAGCTCAAATAAATCGGGATTCTCAGGGAATGACAGAATTTCCTGGAGGAGGAATGGAGGCTCAACATGTTACCCTATGCCTGACAGAGGCAGTAACTGTGGCAGGTAAGCGATTGTGCTGGAAAGGATCATGGGAGTATTGAAATTGCAATTAAAGAACTTTTTTTTTTTTTTTAACTTTTTAAAAGAATCTCGGGGGGCTGGAGAGATGGCTCAGAGGTTAAGAACACTGACTGTTCTTCCAGAGGTCCTGAGTTTAATTCCCAGCAACCACATGATCTATAATGAGATCTGGTGCTCTCTCCTGGCCTGCAGGCATACATGGAGGCAGAATGTTGTATACATAATAAATAAATAAATCTAAAAAAAAAAAAAAAAAAAAAAAAAGAATCTCATACATGTATCCAGTGTGTCTTGTTGATATCCAGACCTCTCTTACTCTCTGACACTTTCAATTTGCCTACGTAATTTTTTTTGTAAATTCTAAAAAAAAATTCTATTTTAGTCTCTTTAAGAGTTAAACAACTTGTTTTTTGCCTAGTTTTCATTTTATAGAAAAGAATTTAATGTCATTAGCATGCAAATATGTAGCTGTCTGAAAAATAATTTTGCTTTATCATAGATGGTGACAATTTAGAAAATATGGAAGGTGTAAGTTTACAAGCTGTAACACTTGCAGATGGCTCCACTGCTTACATACAGCATAATTCTAAAGGTATGTGCATCACGTGTGGCCAGTTGGTTAACATCAATGACTCAGAACCCTTACCAACTAGACCTCCATTTTAATCTCCTAAAGGTGCTGTGTGGCATATGATACTTAAAGTGGTTGCAATTTAATTAAGTTTTGCTTTGGTAATTTTGGGCTACTCTGTGATAGCTGAAAGATATTCTGGGGTACTAAAAGGGAAGGAAAAGAGGAGTAAGACATTTGTTACTTTTTTATTCTAGGTTGTGATTCAGTGTGTTTACAAAACATGTACAGAATATATTTGGTTTTCTTAAAATGACATTGTCTCAAAAAAAAAATTACATTGTCTCTGAATAGAGGTTTAGTTTGCTTCAGGAAATAGCCCAGTTTTAAAAACTCCTGTTTTGTATGGAAAACTGTCATGTGTATGTGGACAAAGGTATACACAGCTCCCAGGGATGAGAATGTCAACTGAATTCACAAACACTGACATGTCTGGTCAGCTTCCCCATGCTCAGAGCCATTGGTACTAAGTGGTTCTGAGAGATGCAGAGGTTCAATGCATGCAGCTTACTGTGACGAGCCACTCTTCCTCTTGAATTTGTCTGATTGGAAATTGGAGGGAGGAAGGATGGCTGAGGGAGGATTTTCTGCTTTCTATAGGGTCTCTGGATGTGATATTGAATTGCCTCAGAACATTGAGGGAAGAACCAAGATGAACATGAGCTTACGTAGTGTATGTTTTTATAGTTGATATCATTTTGAAATTGTATAAAGTTTTAGATTTTTTTGCTGCTAATTTATTGGCTTGAATATTTTGTTCCAGATGGGAGACTCATTGATGGCCAGGTCATTCAGTTGGAAGATGGTTCTGCTGCCTATGTTCAACATGTCCCCATACCTAAAAGTAGTAAGTATTTAAGACACAACAGCCAGGCATGGTAGCACATGCTTTTAATCCCAGCACTCAGAGCAGGAATGTCTCTGAATTTGAGGCCATCTTGGTCTAAATAGCGCAGGGTAGCCAGGGTTATACAATGAGATCATTTCTTTAAAACAAAACAGGACAGTACACAAGAAACTCCTCTGATTCTCAGACCTCGTAATTTGCTGCCTCCAGCTTGTTCTACCTAAATTTGGTCTGATTTCTAGTCTTTCTCTGAAGATGGGTCAGTAGATACCAGGCAGAGGATCAAACTTAACCAAGACTCCTTGAAAAAGACATTGCTGGACTGTGCACGGAGATGAGTAGACAGAAATCCTAAGGAAATATAGCTACGTTGGAGCTCATTTTTTTTCTCCTTTCAATTCTCCTCATCCCTTTAATCCCAGCACTCGGGAGGCAGAGGCAGGCGGATCTTTGTGATTTTGAGGCCAGCCTGGTCTACAGAGTGAGCTCCAGGAAAGGCACAAAACTACACAGAGAAACCCTGTCTCAAAAAAAAAAAAAACAAAAAACCGAGTCTCGAAATTCCCTTTTCTTTGTAATAGTTTCTCAGAGCAACTTCACTGAGATGATTTAGATGTCCAGTGACAGGGCTGGAGAGATGGCTCAGCAGTTAAGAGCACTGACTGCTCTTCCAGAGGACCTGGGTTCAATTCCCAGCACCCACATGGCAGCTCATAACTGTCTGTAACTCTAGTGCCAGGGGATCTGACACCTTCACACCAATGTATATAAAATAAATTTAAATAAATTATTTAAAAAAAAAGTCCAGTGACTCCTGAAGCAGGTATACGTGTTAATCTGACTCTGTTGCTGCTGCGTGAGTTAGCTGGAACATGCTGAAAGTGGGGGATCTAAATGTAAGCATTGCTCTTGAGCAGGGGACAGTTTGCGGCTGGAGGATGGGCAAGCGGTGCAGCTAGAAGACGGAACCACTGCATTTATTCACCATACTTCAAAAGGTACCATAGTTCTGTGACTATGAGTAACATAGGGAAAAGTGGGAGTGTGAGGAAAAGAAGAACTGCCTTTGGCTGCTGGAGTGCTGTCATGGAAACAGCTGTCTAGTCCTTGAAGTACACAGCAGCAGGTTGGAACACTAGTTAAGGAAAAACTTAGTGGCAGTTTGAGCTGTTCAGGGACAGTTTATCACAATAAACAACACAGACATGGAGCCAGGTGTTTGAATACCAAGAACTGACATGAGTCCAAATTATGGTTTCTCCATTTGTACTCAAAATGAATGTGTTATTCTTTTAGGTTAAATGTTACATTAAATATTGAGGATCTGTTTGCTTATTTGTTTGTTTGTTTGTTTTGGTTCTTTCAAGACAGGTTTCTCTGTGTAGTTTTAGTGCCTGTCCAGGATCTCACTTTGGTTGTTTGTTTGTTTGTTTTTGTTTTTGTTTTTGTTTTTTTTTCGAGACTGGGTTTCTCTGTGTAGCTTTGCACCTTTCCTGGATCTCATTTTGTAGACCAGGCTGGCCTTGAACTCACAGAGATCCGCCTGGCTCTGGATTAAAGGCGTGCACCATCACCGCCCAGCTGTTTGTTTGTTTTTTAATGTTCCTAAGGCAAGTAACTTTAATGTCCTAGACCTCAGGTTCCTATCTATACAGTAGAGGTGGTAAATTCTGCCTCAGAGTATTTGTGTACAGATTAAATATAAGACATACAGCCAATACTAGATATGGGAGCCTATGTCTGTAATCCTAGCATTTGGAAAGCAGCAACAGGAAGATCACTGCAACTTTAAAGATAACCTTTCTACCATAGTGGGTACCAGGACAGTCTAGGCTACAGGCAAAACAAAAAGTAAATAAATTGTGTAGTGCAATGCTCATAGTAACTACTCAAAGAAAAAGTCCATTTCTCTTTTTTTGAGTCCGCTGGACCTGTTGAATGATTCTGAAGTGGGGAGTGTGGAATTGGGAGATGATAGCTATGAAATATAAACGTAGATGAAGAAAAAGACAGAGACACAGGATAGCTTTGGGAGTGTTCTGGGTCAATACCACAGACACTGAGTTCATTACTTACAGCCTTTATATACCCAAAGCATGAGGGGCAGAAAGACCTTCCCCTTTTGAGGACATCACGGTTCAAGGTACAAAGTACAATCAAGTGTAAACACCTCCTTAGTATGAAGATATCTGGTGCCCAGCCTTATGGCAAATCATCCTGTAATTAGGCCAAAACATACTATTATGCAGCTTTTTTGGAGGGGGGCATAGACAGACGGATGGACAAGCTCGGACTCTCTGACCTTGAGTCAAGAGGAAAAGAAGCCAGGAGCTGGGGTCTCTGTGGGTTCCCACACCTTTAAATATAAAAGAATGATTTTGTGTCTGTGTGTGTGTCACTAACTAGTCCCTTGATTTTAAGAATCTTTCACTTCAGCTTTGCTCCATTGCCCTTTTGTAAACCATATTTCTTTCTGATGGAGAAAAATATGAGAACACTCGTGTTTTTTTATGTAGGCACTTAGTGCTGTGAACTTGCTTCTTTAGACCCACCTTCATGGTGTCCCATAAGTTTGGATATGTTGTGTTTTCATTCTCATTCAGTTCTAAAAAGTTTTCATTTTCTTCTTGATTTGACCCATTTTTCATTCAATAGTGCGTTGTTCAGCTTCCATGAATTTGTATACTTTCTGCTGTTTCTGTTGTTGATATTCAGCTTTGATCCATGATTGTCAGATAGGATGCAGGGTATTGTTGCAATTTTCTTATGTTTTCTGTCCAAGTATGTGATCAGTTTTGGAGAAAGTTCCATGGCTGCTGAGAAGAAAGTATACTCTTAAGTGTTCTGTTAGGTCTATTTGACTTATGACATTATTTAACACCAGCATTTCTCTGTGTGAGGGTTAATATGTGGTTTTAGCTGTAGTAGTGTTTCTTTTATGAACTTGGGTACCTTTGTGTTTGGTACATAAATGTTTAGAACTGCAATATACTCTTGGTGGATTTTTCCTTTAATGAGTATGTATTATCCTGGCCTATCTTTCCTGGTTAGTTTTTGTTTGGAGTCTATTTTGTTATTATAATGGTGGCTATGCCTGCTTGCTTCTTGGTCTATTTGCTTGCAATGTCCATCCTTTGACCCTGAGGCAATGTCTGTCTTTGATGGTGAAGTGCATTTCCTGGATGTAGCAGAAAGACAGATTCTGGTTTGTTTGTTTGTTTGTTTTGGTTTTGATTTTTTGACCCGGGGTTTCTCTGTATAGCTCTGGCTGTCCAGGAAAACTTGCTCTATTGACCAACCAGGCTGGCCTCAAATAACAGATCTGCCTGCTTCTGCCTTCTATGCCACTAAGCCTAGCTTGTTTGTTTTTTTTCTCCCCCTTCTTCTTGATCTTTTTTTTTTCTTTTTTCTTTTTTCTTTTTCTTTTTTTTTTTTTTTTTTTTTTTTTAGGTTTTTCGAGACAGGGTTTCTCTGTGCAGCTTTGCGCCTTTCCTGGATCTCGCGCTCTAGACCAGGCTGGCCTCGAACTCACAAAGATCTGCCTGCCTCTGCCTCCCAAGTGCTGGGATTAAAGGCGTGCGCCACCACAGCCCGGCTTTTTTTTTTTTTTTTTTTTTTTTTGAGAGGGTTTCTCTGTGTAGTTTTGGTGCCTGTCCTGGATCTTGCTCTATAGACCAGACTGGCCTCCGACTCAGAGATCTGCCCGGCTCTGCCTCCCAAGTGCTGGGATTAAAGGCATGTACCAACACCGCCCGGCTTGATCCTGTTTTCTAATCTAGTCTGTTAATTGTGCCTTTTTATTGAGGAACTTATAAGACTATAAATACTAAAAATCAGCAATGGGCAGTGTTTATTGATTCCTGTTGTTTTGTTATGGTGTGAGCTTCCCCCACTCTTTCTTTTCATTTGCTGGTATGGGGTTATTTATTCTTGTGTTTTCTTTGGTGTGGTTAACTTTTTCAGGCTGACCTTTCTAGTGCCTTCTGTAAAGCTCGGTTGGTAGATGGCTATTGCTTAGTTTTGATTTTATTGTAGATTTTTCCCCCCAATTATGATTAATAGTGTTGCTGGTTATAGTAGTCTGGGTATCTGTGGTTTCACAGAGTCTGTAGAACATCTGCCCAGGCCCTTTGACTTCCAGAGTCTCCATAAAGTCGAGTGTTATTCTAATGGGACTGCCTTGATATTTGACTTGGTCTGCTTCCCCTTGCAGCTTTTAATATCCTTTCTTCTGTATGCTTAGTGTTTTATTATGTGTCACAGGGAATCTCTTTTCTAGTCTTATTTGGTGTTCAGTATGCTTCTTATACCTTTATAGGTGCCTCCTTCTTTAGATTGGGGAAATTTATTCTATGATTTTTTTTTTTCCCTCTTGAGACAGGGTTTCTCTGTGTATCCCTAGCTGTCCTAGAAATCACTCTGTAGACCAGGCTGGCCTCTAACTCAGAGATCCACCTGCCTCTGCCTGCCCAGTGCTGGGATTAAAGGCGTGTGCTACCACCACCCAGCCAAACAGAATTTATTTTTAATAAAATCATAGTGCTGGTCAGTGGTGGCACACATGTTTAATCCCAGCACTTGGGAGGCAGAGGCAGGTGGATCTCCATGAGTTCAAGGCAGCCTGGGCTACAGAGTGAGTTCCAGGACAGGCACCAAAACTACACAGAGAAACCCTGTCTCGAGGAAAAAAAAAATTCTGTTTGTATTTTCAGGTCTTGAACTAATTTTCATTAGTTCAATCAACTGTTTGTGTTTTCACAGTCTCCATTAAGGCATTTATTCATATCCTCTTTAAGGTCCTTGATCATATTCATAATTATTATCTTGAAGTCTTTGTTTTGTGCTTCAGCTAAATTGCATTTTCAGGGTCTGTTGCCATAGGTGTTGCTGGCTTCTGGAGGAGGTACATTGTCTTGGCTGTTCATGTTTGCTTTTTTGTGCTGGATCTAGGCATCCAGAGTTACGATATTTGAGGTGGTTTTGGTGTATATATATGGTCTTGTCTTTGTTGGGTGGGTATTCCGTTCTTTGGTAGCTATTGCCCTCTCTGGGTCCTAGGTAACTGTGGTAGCTATGGAGTCCCTGGTAGAGAGTGCTTTCTGAGGGTGGACCAATGCCACAAAGGAATGGAAATAGATCGGGGGAAAGGCTGATATAGGCCATGGAAAAGAACGAGGGGGACTAGGGCCTGCACCAAGAGACGGAGTCCCTGGGGAGTACAGGTAGGGCTGCAGCAGGTAGGAGAAAGAGTAAATCTAAAGAAATAGGAATGAAGCCAGGCATGATGGCACATGACTTTAATCCCAGCACTCGAGGCAGAGGTTGGTGATCTCTATGAGTTCAAGGACAGCCTGGTCTTCTAAGCTACAGGACAGTCAGGGCTACACAGAGAAACCCTGTCTCCAAAAAAACGAAATAAGAATGAAAGAGCTAAGAGACCCTGGATCTGCACCAAGCGGCAGAATTCTGCAGGAAAAGGAGATGGGTGGGGAAGAGGGACTCCTGTAGACAGTCAGTCTGCAGTATGAGGAAGAGTAAGTCTGGGGAGATCAGAATAGTGGACAGGAGGTACAGTAAAATCACCTACCTGCATCTCAGTCCAGTGTTGGCCACTGTCGGTCCATGGTAGAAAGCATTTCTGTGAATTAGTGACCGACACAGGAATGGAGATGAGCCGTAAGGGAAAGCTGAGAAGTTTGGTGACCTAGTGTTGGCCTTCAGTGTAATGCCTTTCTTTTCCATTCTCCCAGATAGTTATGACCAGAGCTCACTTCAGGCAGTTCAATTGGAAGATGGCACAACAGCGTACATCCACCATGCAGTGCAAGTCCCACAGTCTGATACCATCTTGGCAATTCAGGCTGATGGGACAGTGGCAGGGCTGCACACTGGGGATGCTACAATTGATCCAGATACCATTAGTGCTTTGGAGCAGTATGCAGCAAAGGTATGGTACTTTGCAACTTCAATACCATCTCTGGACCAGGGGTGTAGTTGAGTCGTTACGGTGTTTGTCATGACATGATGAAACCCTAGAGTCAGCACTAGCACTGCATAAACCAAATGTGGTGGCATACACCCACAGTTCCAGCACTTTGGAGGTAGAGCAGGAGGGTCAGGAGTTCATTGTCATCCTTAACTACCTAAAAGTTGAAGACCAGCCTCGGATACATGAGACCCTGTCTCAAAGACAAAGCAAACAAAAAAATACCACCAAAAAGAAGAAACAGGGCTAGGGAGATGGCTCAGCGGTTAAGGGACCTGATTGCTCTTCCAGAGGACCCAAGTTCAATTCCCAGCACCCACATGGCAGTTCACAACTGTGACTCCAAGATCTGACACCCTCACACAGACATACCAGTATGCAAGACACCAATTCACATAAAATAAAAATAAATAAATTATAAAAGAAAGAAGTAAAAGTAGCAGCTAGCAATTTAAAATAAAAAATATGAGTTGGTACTAAAGAATTCAGCGTTTCTTTTCAAATACGTGAATGCCAGGAGTGTAGTGCATGCTTATAGATGATCACAGGTTTAAAGACAAACTTGGGCTGCATAGTAAGATCTTGTCTCAACAACAATTAAAGAAATTCATAAAGAGGGCTAGAGATAGAGAGATGGCTCAGTTAAGAACACTTGTGCTGGATGATGGTCGTGCACAGCTTTAATCCCAGCATTTGGGAGGTAGAGACAGGTGAATTCGAGGCCAGCCTGGTCTACAGAGTGGGTTCCAGGACAGCTAGGGCTACACAGAGAAACTTTTTCTCAAAAACCAACAACAACAAAATAAAAAAAGAACACTTGTTGCTCTTGCATGGGACTCAGGTTTGACTCCTAGAACCCGATCCAAAACTCCAGTTCCAGGTCCTCTTATGACCTCCACAAGCACCAGGCACTGCATTTGGGTTGGTATACTGACATAAATGAAGGCAACATACCCATAAAATAAAATTTAAATATTAAAAAAAGAAATAATTAGAGAAGAATAATTGATTGAAGTAAACTTAAAAAATAAATAAATAGTTGATAATTTACAGTAGGAAGTCAAGGGTGAGTTCCATAAAGGATATAATAGAGTAGAAATCAGAAGTAAAATTAGAGATTAGGGCTGCAGAGATGGCTCAGAGGTTAAGAGTGCTGGCTGCTCTTCCAGAAGTCCGGAGTTCAATTCCCAGCAACCACATGGTGGTTAACAACTATTTATAATAAGATCTGATGCCCTCTTCTGGCGTACAGGCAAACATGCAAACAGGACACTGTATACATAATAAATAAATCTTCAGAAAAAATTAAATTAAATTAAATTTAAAAAAAAATTAGAAAGAGAAGAAGTAGGGAGGATTCTTGAAGTTTTTGCCTGTACTAAAAGTGTACATTACATATAATTTAAAAGTTTGGGCGTAGAGAGAGAGGGTATGGAGATATGGCTATAATCCCAGCATCAGGGATGTAGAGGCGGAAAGATCAGGAATTCAGGTTCATCCTTAACTATATAATGAGTTCAAGATCAGACTGGACCACATGAGGCTCTATCTCACCTCCATACCCCAATTTGGGGGAGCTAATGGTATGGTTCAGTGGTAGAGTGCAAGGTACATGGAGCCTTGAGTTCAGTCCCCAGCACCATGATAACGGGTAAATAATAGTTAGTTACTTTTTAATTTGGGAAGGGTTTTTTATTGTTTTTTTTTTGGTTTTTTGAGACAGGGTTTCTCTGTGTGGTCCTGATTGTCTTTAGAGCAGGCTAGCCTCGAACTCAGAGATTCACCTACTTCTGCCTCCTGAGTGATGGAATTAAAGATGTGTGCCACCACTGCCTGGCTGGGAGATTTTTAAGAATGTACAATGATAGCTGATAATAAATCTGCATGTTACCCAGCCTAAACCATTATCAAAATATAACCTGGGGCTAGAGCTGCTTTGTACAATACTTGTCTAAATGAAACCTTTTAAAGCTTTCTTTTATTCTTTTAGGTTTCCATTGATGGGAGTGAAAGTGTAACAAGTACAGGATTGATTGGAGAGAATGATCAAGAGAAAAAAATGCAGGTATGTAAAGCTGAGTTGTGTTATTTGAAAAAAAAATTTTATTATTATTTTAAATTGTGTGTGTGCACTCACACACCTGGATATCTGTATGTTCAGGTACCTATGAGTACTGGTGCCCCTATAGGTCAGAGGCATGTGATTTCCTTGAAGTTGGAGTTAAGGTGATTATGAATTGCCTGATGTGTTAGGAACTTGGTTCCTCTGGTAGCCATTTGCAATTTTTATGGTTTTAGAATTTCTGGGGTTTGTTTTGCTTTGTTAGCAATACTAGGGAAAAAATGACCCACTACTGAATCTAAGTGTAGACTAGGATCCCATGGATTTTATCTCTTATGGGAGATTGAAATGACTGGACACCCTCTTTATCACTGTTTTTGAAATAAAAAGAAATACATTTGACATTGCCTCGAGGTTCCATTTCCTTTAGACAAAAGACAAAAGAAAAAAGTATAGCTGCTGAGATGGATTCCTTGAGTATGTCAGGGAATAACCAGGTACAATGGAAATTTTGTTTACTTTGGATATTTTTAGGTAGATTCTCACTGTAAAACTCAGCCTTAATCTCATGATGCTCCGCCCTCAGCGTCCCTAACCCTGGGATTTCAGGCATGTGCCACAACACTGACATGCATCCTGGTTTTCTAGGTGAAAATGGATCTTTGAGCTCAAAATGTGCACTCTTTCAGTGTCCCTTTTGACTATTCCAGAGCACTGACTTCATTCAGCCTTAGAACAGAAAGAACCTTCATAATTTGAAGTGCTAGACTCTTAGCAAAATGATGTTCTGAGTTGTAGCTCATAATACGGTTTCCTCTTTTTGTAGTTAGATTTTTCTTTGGGCTGCCATCTCACAAATAATGACACAGAGACTTACTATTAATTATGAAAGCTTGTCCTTAGCTTAGGCTTGTTCTCAACTAGCTCTTGTAACGTAAATGAACCCATTTATATTCATCTACATTCTTCCACGTGGCGTTACCTCTTTTCCATCTCACACCTCCTATTTCCTTGTCTCGCTAGTGAATTTCATCTCTTGTATTTCTCTCTTTTTTTTTTTTTTCCGAGACAGAATTTCTCTTTGTAGCTTTGTGCCTTTCCTGGATCTTGCTCTGTAGACCAGGCTGGCCTCGAACTCACAGCGATCCGCCTGCCTCTGCCCCCAGCGCTGGGATTAAAGGCATGCGCCAACACCGCCTGGCTTGTATTTCTCTATAAGCACCTTAAGTCGTATTTTTTTTTTTTCTAGATTGTCTTACAAGGACATGCTACAAGAGTAACTCCTAAATCTCAGCAGAGTGGAGAGAAGGCATTTCGGTGTAAATACGATGGATGTGGCAAACTCTATACAACAGCTCATCATCTTAAGGTATGTACCTAAGAGAGAAGTAGCTAGTCACAAACATACTATGACAGGCACTGACTGCTAGCATGGTCAGACTCAGACATTCCTGTTCACTCCCATTCAAAAGATACTGACACACACTCACACTAAGAAACACGAGAGTCTGGACAGGCTCAGTAACTATCTGTTCTCTAAGAGCTTGGATGATTTATCTCTGTATCCCTAATTCCAGCATATTCACTGGCAGATATCTATATTAAATTCAATACAATTAGTACATTTCAGTTATGGAACTTACATAGTTTTCTTTCTTTCTTTTTCCTTTTACTTTTTTGAGATAGGGTTTTCTCTGTGTAGCCCTGGCTATCCTGGAACTCACTCTGTAGATCAGGCCAGCTTGGAACTCACAGAGATCCACCTGCCTCTGCCTCCAGAGTCCTGGGATTAAAGCAAATTTACATAATTTTATGAGAGTTGTGTTTCATCACTAGAGTAGAAGTGAGTCACTACAATCTAGCAGAAGTTAGTGTTTAACCTGTGATTAGTGACATGGCTCAGTGATAGAGCAGTTGTCTGTTATGTACAGGCCGTGGGTTCAGTCCTCAGCATTATAGAAGGAAAAGACTATCCCATTTTTCAAATATTTGAGCCAAGCATTCTCTTCGCTTATTTATTTTTCTTACAAATGCAGGGTCTTAGCTAGGTCATGGGGGCACACACCTTTAATCCTAGCACTCAAGAAGCAGAGGCAGACGGATCTCTGTGAGTTCAAGGCCAGCCAGGTCTACAAAGCAAGTTCCAGGACAGCCAGAGCTGTTACACAGAGAAACCTTGCCTCTAAAACAAAACAAAAAAGTATCAAGGGTCTTAAATTTGCTAGGCCAGTGTTCTACCATTGTCCTATGTCTCCAGCCCTTGGTTTTTTTGAGACAGCATCTCACTGTGTAGCTTAAGTTGACTTCTGATTTCTATCCTTCCTTCTCTACCCTCTAATTTCTGGGGTTGTAGGAATATGCCACCATACCCAGCAATATTAATTCGGTGGAGGGCTATTTTTAAGGTGTATACTACTATACCTAGCCTCAATATTTTTATTTTAATTGCAACAAAACACAATAGAATGTGCCATGACTTTTAACAAATAGCTCAGATTTAATGAGTAACTTACCTTCTGTAAGGAAGTATATTTGGAACAGTAGCCTTAGAGCATATCTCTCATTCTTATCGATGTATGACTTTGGCATGTTAGGTGACCTCTTGGTACCTCATTTTCCCTTATCTATAAAACTGTTTGCCAGGCAGTGGTGACACACACCTTTAATCCCAGCACTCAAATTTTAATCCCAGGCAGATTTCTCTGAATTCAAGGCCGGCCTCGTCTACAAATTGAGTTCGAGAACAGCCAGAACCCTGTCTCAAAAAAAAAAAAAACAAAAAAACAAAAAAACAAAAACTGGTTATCTCAGGCTGGGAATGTCACTCACTCAGTAGAGTACTTGTCCGGTCCTGGATTCATTCTCCAGCCCCACATAAACTGGTCATGGTGACACATACCCTTAATCAATGCTCAAGGGGTAGAGGCAGAAGCCTCAGAAGATTAAAGTCACCCTCACTGCAAAGCTAGGCTGGGATGGATGAGACTGTCTATAACATAGCACTTTCTTACAGAGAGGTTGTGAAAATTAAATAAGTTAATACTGTTCATATAAATTACTAAAAAGAATGAACCCATTAAAGGTTCAGTGAATGTTGGGCATTGGCATAAGTACTCATACATCGTAGCAGCCTTCACCAGTGGCTGCTATTTTACCTCACTTTACAGAGAGGGCATTGAGGCTTAGAAAGGCAGGTGCAGAGTTGGAGATGTAGCTCAGTTAGTAGAGTGTAGCTGGAATTTCCTTTGGGCCTCCAACCAGTTCCCAAATTAAGACACAGAGACTTATTATTAATTATGAATGCTTGACCTTAGCTTAGGCTTGTCCCACTAGCTCTTTTAGCTTAATTTAGCCTGCATCTATTCATCTATGTTTTGCCTTGGGACTGTTTACCTTTCTTTTACTCTGTATGTCCTACTTTCCTGCTTCCTCTGTATCTGGCTGGATGGCACCTGGCATCTCCCTGTGGTCCCCTTTTCTTTCTTCCTCGAGCCTCAATTCCTCCTATTTACTCTCCCTATCTGGAAGTTCCACCTATACCTCTTCCCTCACTATTGGCCATTTAGCTTTTAATTAGACCAATCAGATGCCTTAGGCAGACAAGGTAAAATAGCAACACATCTTTACATAATTAAACAGTTCCACCTATACCACCTCCCTCACTATTGGCCATTTAGCTTTTTATTAGACCAATCAGATGCCTTAGGCAGGGAAGGTAATACAGCAACACATCTTTACATAATTAAACAAATGCAATACAACTTTACATAGTTAAATATTCTGCAACATAACTTTACATAGTTAAACAAATACTCTGAAACATAAACAAATGCAATATTCTTTGCATAGTTAAATGTTCTGCAACATTAAGAAATGCAACACATCTTTGCATAGTTAAACAAATATTCCAAAACAGAACAGTGTTTGACTAACATGAATAAGATCTATCTCTAGCACCCCATAAACTGGGTGTGGTGGTACATACCTGTCCCAGTACTCAGGAGGATCAAGAGCACAAGGTCATCCTTGCCTACAGAGAGAGTTTGAGGCCATCGTGGAATACATGAGACTGCAGCTCAGATAGATAGGTAAGTAGGTAGGGAGAGAGACAGAGAGAAAAACAGGTACCCAAGGCCATTCCTCTAGTAGTGTAGCCTTGCTTCAGATTTGAGATGCATGGCTTTCTAGCACAGGTTGCATGCCACAGTTCACTTTGAGAAACCTGTTGCTCTCTTCCTCATTCTCATAATGCACATGTGTCATAATAGTTCCTATGACCACTCTAAAAGCACTCAAATGATCCTGTTTCTTAGTTTAAATGAGTCCTTGTTGCTATGTAACTTTTGGGTCTATATTGAGAATTACTGGGCTATAGTTTTTGTGGAAAAGCTTTTTTTTTTTTTTTTTAAAGTATACAATAGTGTTGTTGTTTGTTTTTGCTCTTTTAGGGGGCCCACCACCCACCTCCCAAATAAATCACACACAGAGACTTATTCTTAATTATAAATGCTCAGTCTTAGCTTGGCTTGTTTCTAGCCGGCTTTTCTTAACTTTAAATTAACCTGTCTGTCTTTTGCCTCTGGTCTTTTACCTTTCTGTTTCTTTCTTTTTCTTTTCTTTTTTTTAAAAAATAATTTATTTAATTTTATTTTATAAATAAATAAAATAAATTGGTGTGTGGGTGTCAGATCTCCTGGAACTGGAGTTACAGACAGTTGTGAGCTGCCATGTGGGCACTGGGAATTGAACCTTGGTCCTCTGGAATAGCAGCCAGTGCTCTTAACCACTGAACCATCTCTCCAGCCCCTCTATTTCTTGTTTTGTTGGTTTTTTGAAACAGAGTTTCTCCGTGTAACAGTCCTAGCTGTCGTGGAACTCAATATGTAGACCAGGCTGGCCTCAAACTGATCCCCCTGCCTCTGCCTCCCAAGTACTGGGATTAAAGGAGTGCACCACCACTGCCTGGCTCCTTTCTTTATTTCTTTCGTTTTGTTTTTGTTTTTCAATTCAGGGTTTCTCTGTGTAGTTTTGCTGTCTGTCCTGGATCTCGCTCTGTAGACCAGGCTGGCCTTGAACTCACAGAGATCCACCTGGCTCTGCCTCCCGAGTGCTGGGATCAAAGGCATGTGCCACCATCGCCCAGCTCCTTTCTCTATTTCTTATACCTTTCTTTCTTACTCCATTGCTGGTTATATACCTGGGGGGGCTGGCCCCTTACATCCTCCTCTCTTGCTCCTTCTCTGGCTACTTCCTCTTCCTCCCAGATTTCTCCTCCATATTCTCTCTGCCTGCCAGCCTCGCCTACTCTCTCTCCTGCCTTGCTATTGGCCATTCAGTTTTTTATTAAACCATCAGGTGTTTTAGACAGGCACAGTAACACAGCTTCACAGAGTTAAACAAATATAATATAAACATAAGTAACACACCTTAAAATAATATTCTACAATACAATAGGACTAGTGATATAGCTCAGTGATAGCTATGGCATCTCATATCTGAGGCCCTGGGTTCAATCCCTAGTACTGTGAAAAGAAAAAGAAGGGGGGGAAAGAAGCATAAAACAAAGTCATTTACTAGTAGAGGAAAAAATAGATTTAACTTGAGAATATCTTTGTCACAGAACATGGAAAGGAAACAGAATCATGCTTGTGTTTTAATAACAGGTCCATGAACGTTCACACACAGGAGACCGGCCTTATCAGTGTGAGCATTCAGGCTGTGGGAAAGCATTTGCGACAGGTAAAAACATAAATTTTCTTTGCTTCTTAGTTCAGTGGGGGATTGCCCAGGGCAAACCAGAGGCAGGACCCCTTTCTGTTTTCTGAGACCACAGAAGCACATGATCAGTTTTTGAGTCATACTTTTTTTATATTTGTATATACATGTGCCTGCATGAATTTATGTGTACCATGTATGTGCAGATTCCCCTATAAGCCAAAAGAGGTGATTGGATCCCCTGGAACTGTAGTTGGGAGCCACGTGATGTGGGTGCTGGGAACCCACACCTATGTCCTCTGCTACAGCAGTATGCACTCTGAACTGCTAAGCCATCTATCCAGCCCCTTCAGTCTTTTTCCTAATTGCCTCCTGTCCTGCTTGATCTGGACCTACCTCTGTGTTATCATTTTTCTCAAAGATCTAGCTCTGCCTACATATTTGCTGCTCCTCATTCCATCCTCTACTTTCTTCTATCAGGAAAACTAAAAGCTGTGCGTTAAAAGCCAGGTATGGCAGTGCACAATTTTAATCCCAGCACTGGGGAGGCAGAGGCAGACAGTTTTCTATTAGTTTGAAGCCAGACTGATGTGTGTAATGTGTCCCAGGCCAGCCAAGGTTACAAGCCAAGGCTGCCCCCCACCCCAAATGCTGACTTAAAATATAACTAATACAGCCCGAGAGAGCCATAGAGAATTAAGCCATGTGTCATGGAGGTGCTGGGAATCCAACCCAGATCCTCATTACATGAGTAACAAGTGCCCTGAATCACTGAGCCAGCTCTCAAGCCCCACCCTTTTTAACATTTGGTTTTTCTGTTTAGTTTGTTTGATTTTGAGGCATTGTCTCACACTGTATCCCAGGCTGGCCTCAAATTGATGACAGTCCTCCTATTTTAGCTTCCCATATATTGCGATTCCAGGCTTGAGCCACCACAACTAACTTGCCTCATATATTTTTAATAGTCATGCTATTAAATTTTTTATTTTTATTTTATTTTATTCTGGTTATTTGCTGTATATTCCCATAAGTCACTCTCCAAATACTTGTTTAGAGGAGTACTGTATTGCTAAATTTCTTTTTCTTTTCTTTTTTGTTTTTTAAGACAGGTCTCTTTGTGTAACCCTGGCTGTTCTGGAATTCAATCTGTAGACCAGGCTGGCCTCAAACTCACAAAGATCTGCCTGCCTTTCCCTTTTGAGTGCTGGGATTAAGGGTGTGTGCCACCACCACCTGGCACTAAATTTCTTTAAAATTTTTCTTAAAGGTTATGGATTAAAAAGTCATTTCAGAACTCATACTGGAGAAAAGCCATATCGATGTTCAGAAGATAATTGTACAAAATCTTTCAAAACTTCAGGAGATCTACAGAAGCACATCAGAACCCATACAGGTACCAGTACAATCAGTATCAAATCTAGACCAGGAATTCTGTTTTTGGTTGTAGCACAGGCTGGTGTTGGAGTTGATGCTTCGCACCAGCTTCTCCAGTTCTGGGGTTTCAAACTGGTACTATCAGGCTAAACCAGAAATTCTTAATCTGCGGGATGGGGATGGAGTCTCTGAAAAAAATGTAAAGAATCATTGTCAGGCCTTATCTTAAACTCCTAAAATTTCATCAGTTTGCTGTCTGTGCCTGTATACTTCTTTCCGAGGTGAAACCCCAGCAAAACAACAGTAGCCCTCGGTCACCAACCCTCTGGGTCTACAGAAACTGCCTGAGCAACAGTGTATTTTCCTAGGATTACTCATTTGATAGGTAGCCAAATGGAGAACAGACCCTAAGGTACAGGATTCCTCTCTTGCTGCTAAAAGAAATACATGGTAGTCCCAGCACTTGGAGGCAGAGGCAGGCAGATCTCGTGAGTTACGGAGCAGTCTGATCTACAGAGCTAGTTCCAGGACAGCCAGGGCTACACAGAGAAACCTTATCTGGAAAAACCAAAAAAGAAAAAAAATGTTTCCAATAAATGATATACATACACATATAGGTATATTTTTATGTGTTCTATGGGTGGTACTAGATTAAAGAAATAGCAAATTGTTTTCTTTTTATTGCATTTATTAATTATTATGGGTGCATACACTACGCTGTGTGCATGGAGGTTAGAAGACAGCTTGCAGAAGTTGGTTCTCACCTTCTACCATGTAGTTCCCAGGGACAGAAGTACTCAAGCTGTTAGTAGAGTTGGTGACAAGTGCTTTTTGTCTTTTTTTTTTTCTTTTCTTTTCAGAGCTGAGGACCGAACCCAGGGCCTTGTGCTTGCTAGGCAAGCACTCTGCCACTGAGCTAAATCCTTATCCCTGGGTGACAAGTGCTTTAACCTACCACCTACTGAGCCATCTCACTGACCCCAGAAATTATCTTTCTTTGTGGTATTATAGAATAAATAAAATAAGAAATAAGCCTTAGGGAATCCTATAGTTCGAACTTAATCCTTTTTATAAAATAAAATTGTATTACACTTACTTTGATGTGTATGCATATGTGTGCACCATGGCACACGATGGCGGCTGAGAACAGTTTTCAGGAGTTGATTCTTCCTCTATCCTTTAGGTTCCAGGGATGCAACTCAGGCAGTTTGTTTCGGCAGCAAGCATTTATACCCATGGAGCTATCTTGCTAAACCTTAATCCTTATTCCTGAGCCTATTTTTCTTTTATCTTTTCTCTGATGTTTTAGTCTATGCTTTTCTCAGCTCAGTTTTTTTGTTTTTTTGTTTTTTGTTTTTTGTTTTTTGAGACAGGGTTTCTCTGTGTAGCTTTGCACCTTTCCTGGAACTCACTTGGTAGCCCAGGCTGTCCTCGAACTCACAGAGATCCGCCTGGCTCTGCCTCCCGAGTGCTGGGATTAAAGGCATGCGCCACCACCACCCGGCCTCAGCTCAGTTTTTAGTATGATTCTATCTTAGAAAGTCACAGTCATTGATGAGTGTTGAATGCCATTCAGTTTTCTTATGTCAACCCAAGTTTGGAGTGGAAGATGCCTTCTCCAGTGCACCAGTGCTTAGAAGGGAAGTTCAGGGCAAGCAGGCTGCAGACTGGGTGAGACCCTGGGCGGAGCCAAGTGATGAGACATTTCCATTCTCTGTGTATTTTATGTTTTGTGCCGTTTAACTTACTCCCTTTTGTATCTTCAGGAGAAAGGCCCTTTAAGTGTCCTATTGAAGGCTGTGGTCGGTCCTTTACAACATCAAATATCAGAAAAGTGCACATTAGGACACACACAGGAGAAAGACCTTACTACTGCACAGAACCAGGATGTGGGAGGGCATTTGCCAGCGCAACCAATTATAAAAACCATGTGAGGATACACACAGGTAATGATTGCTGATGTCTTGGCCCTGCCTTTCTAGGTTTCCAACTAGTCTCTTCCTCCCAGTTCACATGACGAGAAGAGGTTAAGCAGCTTCAAGATTTCTTTAAAGAGACAACACACGTGGGGTGCACACCTTTTATCCCAGCACTGGGCAGGCAGAGCCAGAGGCAGGCATGAGCGCTTGCCCGTGTCAGGTTCTGGTTTTGATCCGGCACTCCACAAATAAAGGAAGAAAGCAGCAGACAGGGAGGGAAAGATTCGGAATGTAAACGGCAGTGCGTTTATGTACAACTGATCAGGTGAATCAGTGCAGCCAACAGTAGGAGCTCCAAAGCTGTGAAGGTGGATGGATGCTGGTGCACACCTGTAATCCCAGCCCTTGACGCATGGAGAGAACAGGATCAGAAGGTCAATGTCATCTTCGGCTATATATTAAGTGTGAGGCCAGCCTAAGTACGTGGACACTTAAAAACAAAGACACGGGCTGGGCACGCCTTTAATCTCAGCACTCTAGAGGCAAAGCCAGGTGAATCTCTGAGTTCAAGGCCAGCCTGGTCTACAGAGCGAGATACAGGACAGGCACCAAAACTACACAGAGAAAAACCTTGTCTCAAAAAACAAACAAAACAACAACAAAGATACCCCCATCTCCCCACCCCCAAAAAGCTTACCGTCAAGTTGGTTCCCTTTTTGACTGTTTGGTGCCACCTAGTGTTGGTTTCTGCTCCAAGTGGTAATTGGCAGCCATTTCCCTGTTTAGGAATCATCTGCCAAGTCTTTCCCTTCACCGAGTCTGAGACTCTTCATTGAAATGAGAGCATTTACTTACTTACTTACTTACTTACTTACTTACTTACTTACTTACTTACTTATTGGCAAGATCTCTCCTCATAGCCCTGGCTGTCCTGGAACTCACTCTGTAGACCAGGCTGGCCTGGAACTCGCAGAGATCCACCTGCCTCTGCCTCCTGAGTGCTGAGACTAAAAGCATAAGCCACCATGACCAGCCAAAATAAGAACTTTAAAAAAAAAAAGAACTCTTTCTTGCCTACTTTGAGGATAGCATCTAGAGAGTAAACAAAAGTCCATTTTCAATTACTGTATGTCTGATGATATGAAATGTTATAATTTGTGAATAGTTTTATTGTATAGAACTGTAAGAAAAGGTAGTTACACAAGAAGATGGAAATAAAAATGACCCAGGACATGAATGAGTATACAAGTATACATGATTTATCATCCAGGCTGACCCCAACACTGAACTGGGGTTCTAATTCCAGGTCTTCCACAGGGCTCTCTGTATTCTCCCTCTATTATGTGTGTATATTCCTTCCATAGGGGAAACATGGCTTCTGACATCCAAACATTTACATAATCACTCAGTCTTATGTCTTCTCCTCCTCCCTCTCCACACACCTCTTCCCCCACCCCCCTTTCTCTCTTGTTCTAGTTTTGCTGTATAGCCCAGGTTAACCTCAAAGTTTCTGTACATCTCACTACCCTGGAACCATTGTTCCTTTTTCCTTAGCCTCCATAGTGCTGGAATTACAGCCTATGGCAGGACACCTGGCTCAGTGTCCAGTCTTTAATTACATCTAAAATAGTCTCACAATTGCTTCACCCGTACTACTACAGTGAACAAACCTACAAAGGCTGGGGAGATGGCACTGTGGATAAGGTCGCTTGCTGCCAACCCTGACAACCTGAGTTCACTTCCCAGGACCCACATGATAGAACAGACTCCTACAGGTTCTTTTAACCTCCACATGCTGCACACACATGCATTGCCCATATCTACACATACACATACACACACACACACACACACACACACACACACACACACACACACTCTCTAAATGAATGTAATTTTTAAAAGCTTACAAAAACAGGCTGGAGAGAGAGATTACTTAGTGGTTAAAAGCACTGCTGCTCTTTCAGAGGACCCAGACTTGGTTCCTGGAACTCACATGAGGGCTGTAATTCCACTTTCAGAGAAAATTATGCCCTCTTCTGGTCTCCTTGGGCACTGCACACAGTTGGTGCACAGAACTAAATATATATCATATATATAAAATATATATCAAAAACACCCATACACATAAAATTAAATAAATAGTTGGGCATGGTGGTACATGCCTTTACTAGCACTCAGGAGGCAGAGGCAGGTGACTCTGAACTAGAGGCCAACCTGGTGTACATACTGAGTTCTCAGACAGCCAAGGCTACAAGGAAGAACCCTGTCCTACACAAATAAACACACCCTTTGTTTTTGTTTGTTTTTAATTTATAAAGGGCTAAAGAAATGGCTCAGCAGTTAAGAACAAGTACTGTTCCTGCAGACGATCTGAGTTTGGTTCCCAACACACATCATGTCAGGTGGCTTACAACTGCCTGTAACTCTTATGTTTTTGGTTGAGCCATCTCTCCAGCTAGATAGTCTGTAACTCTAGCACCAGGGGATCTGATGCCTCTTTTGGCACCTATGTGCACACACACACACACAAAGACACAAAAGGGCATCAGATCTCATTACAGATGGTTGTGAGCCACCATATGGTTGCTGGGAATTGAACTCAGGACCTCTGGAAGAGCAGCCAGTGCTCTTAACCACTGAGCCATCTCTCCAGCCCATGTTTTCTTAATGTATAAGTAGAGTTAAGGATTAGTTTGTAATCCTTCCTGACATCTAGCCCAAAACTGAAAGCATCAGTCAAATGCTACAGAGGCAGATACTGTAACAGGCTGCAGAAGTGCCTCACTTTTAAACACTTGCAATACAAGCATGAGGATCTGAGTTCAGATCTCCTGCACCCACAGAAAAGCTGAGTATGGCAAAATGCCCCTGTTATTTTATCTCTGGGAAGGTCAGGAGGTCAGCCAATCTTGTCAAATCAGTGAGTTCCAGGTTCAATAAGAGATGGAGTCAGGCCTGGTGGTACATGTATTTAATCACACTGTAACCCACACTGGCTTGGTACTTTTTATGTAGACCAGGCTGGCCTTGAACTCACAGAGATCCACCTGCCTCTGCCTCAACAGGGATTATGATTGTGTGCCACATACCCCACAAAGATTTTATGTTTTAATTATGTGTATGGGAGAGGGGGTATGCACAGGAATTCAGTGCCCATGTAGACCAGAAGGTGGTATTGGGTGCCCTGGAGGTGGAATTATGTTGGTTAAAAGCCACCTGCTGTGGGTGCTGAGAACTGAACTCTGGTCCTCTGCAAGAGAAGCAAGCACTGTTAACCACTGAACCATCTCTCCAGCCACTCAGGCTCTTTTTGAGCCAAGTCAGAACCATAGGAAATTTTCTCTTGTGTGCTGTTTCATTTCAAGATGAAAAGGGACACCCCCCCACACACACCTCCCGGTGTGAGGAATTGAACTCTGCATCATGCATGCTAAACAAGCACTCTAATAATGAGTTATAGTGATGAATGATTTGGCTGTTTATTTTTAGAAGTCCCACTCTCCATTTGTGGAGTAATGATGTGTACCTATGTAAAAATGACCTGTGTGTGTGTCTTCTTTACTTAGGAGAAAAGCCATATGTCTGTACAGTTCCTGGTTGTGACAAAAGGTTTACAGAATATTCCAGTTTGTATAAACACCATGTCGTTCATACTCACTCTAAACCATACAACTGTAACCACTGTGGGAAGACATACAAACAGATCTCCACACTAGCTATGCACAAACGGACAGCTCACAATGACACAGAGCCCATTGAGGAGGAGCAGGAAGCCTTCTTCGAGCCTCCCCCAGGTGAGAGCTTTGACAGTTACATCTGTTTTGAGTTTGAGAATCAGTTACGAGCATATGGCCCATGCCATTTTCTCAGGTCCTTTTGTTTCATTTGTGGAATCACACAAACCTGATTTACAGTGGTGGTAAGCGCTGCAGAAGGACACAGGTGCTCCCAGTTGTGGAAGAGGGAAAACTTAGTACCTTCTGTGAGGGCAGAGAAAGCTTCCTGAAGACATGTTCTTGGAAAGATTGAGGAGGCAAAGAAGCAAGGCCTGGGGGAAGGGAAGGGAACAGATCTAAGGCAAGGGGACTTGCAGATAGATGGAGGGTTTGGCAAATGAGAAAGACAAAGTGCTTGGTGAGAGGAGGGCAAGTTGGAGACTTTGGAGGAAGCCTGGCCAATGTGGCAGTTCTGCCTGGGAAGAGCAGAGACTTCTTTTCTCATTTTCAACACCTGAGTGAAATGTTCAGACACATTTAAGTTAAAAAAGTTGTTGATGGGGCCGGGCAGTGGTGGTGTATACCTTCAATCCCAGCACTCGGGAGACAGAGGCAGACAGATCTCTGAGTTGAAGGCCAGCCTGTTCTACAGAGTGAGTTCCAGGGCAGTCAGGGCTACACAGAGAAACCCTGTCTCAAAACAAACAAACAAACAAAAAAAAAACCCAACTATGATTGCTTTTCTAAAATACAGATTTGTGCTCCTTTTCTCACATGATCCCCTGGGTTTGTAAAACTGGAATAATGGTATATAAACAACTGAAAAGAAAAGGTGCAAAGTGATATATGTAAGAACATTACACTTCAGTGACTGTCACCATCTGAACACACACTAGGTAAATTTGCACACTAAAATCCTTCATATACCAGTATTTTTAGATTAGTACTTAGAGTATTAAGTTTCTCTTTGAAGAGGGACTTTCTTGCTTGTTCCATGGGAGCTGGCAAGTGTTGAGAGAAGAGAGAGGTCGGTAATCTTCCTGGTTGCCCAGTCTAGCAGTTTTAGATGTTGAAATTGTCATTCACTTTCTGATCCCTTTTTAGGGGGTGGGGATTGTTGACACAGGGTTTCTGCCTGGCTCCCTTGCTAATTCTTTGTGAAAAAAGAACTGGACTGGAGTTCCTGTTCTGTTACTTATTAAATGATTAACCTCAGCTCAGATAACATGCCATTGCATAGTCTCTCCACAGTGATGTCATTGTGTACCAATCACTTGCTGTTCATCACGTGTGTAAAAGACGAGTAGTTAGTAGATTGTGTGTACAAGGCATTCTGGTTTTGTGGTTAATGTTTATTTATAGAGACTCTTTTATTACCTTCATGAATCTTAAGTGACTTAAGGAACTTGGTATAGACTTACTCTCTTGGAGGGGCAAGTCTGTCTTTGTGTATAATTCCTCCATTCATGTACCCAGTATGGATGTGCACAGTGGCACAAATCACTCCATCTAAGTGTAAAGGCAAGGCCTTCCCAAATCAGAACACTTAAAGTTGATGGATAGGGTTTGATTTAGCTTGGCTTGGCCGAAGTGAAGATAGAAGAATTAAGACGAGGTCCTGAAAACTGTTTTCATGGTTTAGAATATAAAAATCCTTTTGTTTGTTTTTTGAGACAAAGGTTTATACAACCCAAATTGTCCTTGAACTCCCTGCATAGCCAAGACTGCCCAACCACCTTCTGAGTGCTAGAATGACAGGCATGCATGACCGTGCCCGGCTCTCAATTCAATTGTCTGTATCATATTTAAAATCTCGAATGTTGTCTAATTAGATTGGTTAGTTGGTCAAATAAATTATTCATTTATTTTAAACAGGTCAAGGTGATGATGTTCTTAAAGGGTCCCAGATCACATATGTTACAGGTGTAGAAGGAGAGGACATTGTATCTACACAGGTAGCCACAGTAACCCAGTCTGGGTTGAGTCAACAAGTTACGCTTATATCCCAGGATGGCACTCAACATGTAAGTATCTACTAAAAGTCAAGAAAGTTAAATATTTCTCTGCACCTGGGATTGAAAGACAGGCTGAGTTCCCATGGGGGAAACCCTTGAGTACCAAAGCATGAAGTTTGGACTTGGGCCAGTAGGCTAGTGGTTCTCAAACTTCTTAATGCTGAGTGCGACCCTTTAATACAACTCCTCATGTTGTGGTGACCCCCAACCACAACAGCTGTTTTCATTGCTACTTCATAGCTGTAATTTTGCTACTGTTTTGGATCATAATGTAAATCTCTGTGTTTTCCGGTGGTCTTAGGCGACCTCTGTGAAAGGGTTGTTTGACTGCCCCAGGAGTCACTACCCACAGATTGAGAACCACTGCTCTAGGCAGTGGTCGATCATCCAGAGGTTTTCCATAGTCTGCTGGAAAAGATAGTATGAAGTAGTAATAGTAGAGGGTGTTTATGTCTGTAGAAAACAAATGGTATTGACTCGTGTGACTCAAAGGTGAAGTGACAGGTCAGAACCACAAGGAGACTGGGACCTTCAAATGTACTGGGTCTGATCAGGAGAATGGCTCAGCAGTGAAGAGCACTGGCTTCTCTTCCAGGGGTCCTAAATTCAGTTCCCAGAACTCACATGGTGGCTCATAACTGCCTGTAATGGAATCTGATGCCATCTCCTGGCGTGCAGACATATATGTAGACAAAATACTCAAATATATAAAATACATAAATAAGTCTTTTTTAAAAAAAGAAAAAAGTTCTGGGTGGTTGTGGTGCTCGCCTTTAATCCCAGCACCCAGGAGGCAGAGGCAGGTGGATCTCTGAGTTTGAGGCCAGCCTGGTATACAAAACTAGTTCCAAGATGGCTAAGGCTACACAGAGAAACCCTACCTGGGGAAAAAAAAGAGAGTAGTGGAATGGGTTGTTTTAGTTTTGGTAAAACAAAACAAAACACAAGCACATGGACTACCAGGATGTTCTGTCTTCCATGGAGAGCTCTCCTCCTGCCCATCTGTATTAGAACTTGCTCCTGCAGTCAGTGTGCCAATTGTTGTTTGTTTTATTTCGCTTGTTTGGTTGGTTTGGTTTGGTGGCTTTTGACACAGGGTTTCACTGTGCAGCCCTGAATGGCTTAGAATTCTATGTAGACCAGGACTTGAATTTACAGAAATCCTCCTGCCTCACCCACCAAGGTCTGAGGTTACAGCTGTGTGTCACCATACCCCACCTTTCTTTGTTTTGATAACTTTTTTTTTGTTGTTTTTGTTTTTCGAGACAGGGTTTCTCTGTGTCACTTTGCACCTTTCCTGGAACTCACTCTGTAGCCTAGGCTGGCCTCGAACTCACAGAGATCCGCCTGTCTCTGCCTCCTGAGTGCTTTCTTCTTCCAAGTGCTGAGATTATAGTTGTGCCACCACTCCTGTCCTGGTTTTGGTTTTGTAACTTTTTTTGTTGTTGTTGTTGTTTGGTTGGTTGGTTGGTTGGTTGGTTGGTTGGTTGGTTTTGGAGCTGAGGACCGAACCCAGGGCCTTGTGCTTGCTAGGCAAGTGCTCTACCACTGAGCTAAATCCCCAACCCCGGTTTTGTAGCTGTTAACATGCTGATATTAGCTAGGAGGCAGAATATTCAGGACTGAGAAATACTAGTGCATTCATACCATCACATGCACCCATATCCCTACCTTTGTCTTGTGCGTCCACACAGTGCTTTGTGTCCACTGACTGACAAGCAAGATAAACGTATTTGCCTAACCCCTAACAGATGTTGGTCCACCATCTGTCCTGACACTTTTTCTAAATCAGATAATTGATTCATACAGAATCTGTATGTTGTTGTCTGATCTAGTTTTCCCCCTAAAGGGGCAATTTCTTCCGTGGCAACTCCAAAACAGCCTCTAATGAGATGTGATGATCTGACAGTTTCCGTGCAGCCAGTAGCAGTGTTGAGTAGCTCTAGTGTTTATAGGGAACCCATCTCTATACCATCCATCCATGGCTCTCTCAAATGCTGCAGAGTAAGGCTAATTCTATCCTAAAACTGTCATCTCAATGTTGTGCTCTTTCTAAACTTACTCCTCCTTTCTTTCAGGAATTTTATTTCATTCTCTGAGTCATTCAGATATTTTTGGCCTTCTATTCTATGAAGACTTTTTGTTTGTTTATTTGTTTGTTTTTAGTTTGTTTGTTTGAGATAGAATTTCTTCTGTGTGTAGCCCTGGCTGTCCTAGAACTCACTTTGTAGACCAGGCTGGCCTCCAATCCACTGAGATCCACCTGCCTCTACCTCCTGAGTTCTGGAACTAAAGGTGTGCACCACCACCACCCAGCCCATGAAGACATTTTTTTAGATTAGTTTGACTAGTACAAAAGAGTGATGTCAAAGTCTAGAAAGAGACATTTCTAACATAATCAAGTGATAATTTCTCATGATCGGGGTAAATATTTGAAAGGTATATAAACTACTCTGGCAGCCTGGGAGAGAAAATAAATAATCTGTCCTCAAGAAATCTTAGAATGATCTTCTCATAGAAGGTAATTCAGTGGGCATTGAAGGATCTTCATGAGCTTGCCAGACAAAGCCATGAGAATGTGACAGAGTGTGACCCCTTCTGGGGGCTGCAGGTGGTTAATAGTGGCTGGGATATCAGATGCAGATTTGAAGTGATAGAAAATGGGGTTCAGGGGCTGGAGAGATGGCTCAGAGGTTAAGAGCACTGACTGCTCTTACAGAGGTCCTGAGTTCAATTCCCAGCAACCACATGGTGGCTCACAACCACCTGTAATGAGATCTGGTGCCCTCTTCTGGCCTGCAGTCACATATGCTGTATACATAATAAATAAATAAATCTTTAAAAAAAAAAAGAAAGAAAGAAAATGGGGTTCAGAACGTTTGTAAAGAAGTGGAGAGGTGGGACTGGAGAGATGGCTCAGTGGTTGAGAGCATTGACTGCTCTTCCAAAGAACCCAGGCTCAATTCCCAGCACCCACATGGCAGCTCACACCTGTCTGTAATTCCAGTTTCAGGGGATCCAACACCCTTATGCAGGCAGAACACTAATGCAAATGAAATAATAATAAGAAGAAGCTGACGGGTGAAAAGCGCCCACAGGATGGCTAGACCATAGGAAACAGAGCTTTGTGCAGGATGCAAGGTGTCAAGATAGAGATGGTTAGAGCGGGAAGAGTTAGGCCCAGTACCTGTAAAGATATTAGATTATGGCAGAAGTAAGGGTCTAAGCTGGGCGTAGTGGCTCACAACTGTAACCTCAGTAAGTAGAAAGCTGAGGCAGCCTTTCCCTGCAGTGTTCCAGGCCATTGTGGGCAATAGAACAAGACCCTGTCTAGAAAAAAAAAACAAAAAACAAAACAAAACAGACATTGACTTGTCTGATGAGTTAAAGAGTTTATTCCACTGTAAAATGTTTATTTGCTCCCACACAGTAAACTTATATGAGGATTATGCTCTGTCCTTAGTTAAGATTGCCAAATGTAACAAGAAACATTATCTGATTTGTAAAATGCACTGTGTTTGCAGGTCAACATATCTCAAGCTGACATGCAGGCCATTGGCAACACCATCACCATGGTAACGCAGGATGGCACACCTATCACGGTCCCCACTCACGATGCAGTCATCTCCTCAGCAGGAACACACTCTGTGGCTATGGTCACCGCCGAGGGCACAGAAGGACAGCAGGTAACTACTTTTGTTCACTGTTAGTACATGAATCGATGTCAAAACTTGCACAGAAGCTGTGCTGTACATTCCTATTTAGGCGTGTGAACTTAAGGCCGACTATAACTTCTTTAGTCCTCGAAGTTATTTTTTTCTCTACCTGTAAAATAGGAATGATAGTTACATCAGCACTATAAAGTTCACAGCAGGATGGAAGCAATAAGGGACTGGAGAGACACAAGAGAGCACTCACTGCTCTTCAGAGGACCCAAATTCAGTTCCCAGCACCCACGTTAGGCTTTTTTTTTTTTTTTTTTTTTTTTTTTTCCTCAAGGTTTTTCAAGACAGGGTTTCTCTGTGTAGCCCTGGCTGTCCTGGAACTAGTTCTGTAAACCAGGCTGGCCTTGAATTCATAGAGATCTGCCTGCCTCTGCCACCCCAGTACTAGGATTAAAGGCATGTGCCACCATGTCGGGCCACATTAATCATCTTACAACTGCCTATAACTCCAGCTGGCCTCCAAGGGTACCCCCACACACATAGCATATACTGCCATAGACATAAACCCATTAAAATTAAATTTTATCTAAAAACACATATACAGTGCTGGGCGGTGGTGGCACATGTCTTTAATCCCAGCACTTGGGAGCCAGAAGTAGGCAGATCTCTGTGAGTTTGAGGCCAGCCTGGTCTACAGAGCAAGTTCTAGTACAGGCTCTATCTAAAGCTACACAGAGAAACCGTATCTCAAAAAACCAACCAACAATCAAAAAACAAAACAAAAAAACACCTCCAGCTAGGCATACAGGTGTAAGTCTTTAGTCCAAGCACTTGAGAGGCAGAAGCAAGCAGATCTTTGAGTCTAGCCTGCTGTACAGAGCAATTTCCAAGCCAGCAATTTCCAAGGGCTACATAGTGAGGCCCTTGTCTCAAAAACACCACCAGAACAAAGCTAGAGAGATGACTCAGTGGTTAAGAATGCTGGCTATTCCCAAGGGATCTGATGCCCTCTTCTGGCCACCTGGCACCTGGCACACAGATGGTATACAGACATACATGCAGGCAAAACACCCATACACATAAAATAAAAATAAATAACTTAAGCTGTCATTGTGACATGAGGCTTCAGGAGACACTGCAAAGATCCCTGAGTCTAGGTGGGGAGTGTCTCTAAGGAGATGTTGCTGTTGGTCAGTCATATCACCGGTCCTTCCAGGTTCCCCAGTTAAATGGAAAGCTAATTGTAAATACAAAAGGAGAAAATAGTCCAGTCCACATTCAGGAATAAGTAGGCATCTGTGGTGTGCGTTAGTTGACATTTATAACTTCCTCAGCATCCACTTAGAATAGCAGAACCTGGGAACAGCCTCATCTTCCTAGCTAGTGAGTTAGACATGGCCGATCCATTTCTGCAGTACTCTGTCAGAGGCCAGCTCCCACTTTTACCCAGAGTACTCTTGAGGAGAGAGGGATGAGAAACTTATAGATAGAATGATAGGCCTAGCCAAAGAGAGGAAAGACACAGGAGAGTTTCGGGAGGACTTGGGTCAATACCCAACAGCCCAAAACTTTTTTTTTGTTTGTTTTTTGTTTTGTTTTGTTTTTGAGGCAGGGTTTCTCTGTGTAGCTTTGCGCCTTTCCTGGAACTTACTCTGTAGCCCAGGCTGGCCTTGAACTCACAGAGATTCTCCTGCCTCTGCCTCCCAAGTGCTGGGATTAAAGGTGTGTGCCACCATCGCCTGGCCCCAGAACTTTATTCAAAAGGGCTTTTTATAACAATGCCATGGGGTGAGGAAAAAGACCTCCCCCTTGCTAGATATAGCCAAGTGTAGACCTTTCCAAACACCTGGTACCCAGGCCCATGATCCAGTCATCCTCTGTGCAGCCCTGCTGGTAAAGCAAGCTCAGCTCTCACTAGGACACCTCTGTGGGCTCCCACAGTACTCTCTACCTGCTTCGCTATCGACTTACTTCATGAGTGTAGGTAAATCCTTTCTGAGGGAGCCCTAACTTGCTCAAATGAAACAGTCCAGCCTAGACAGTGCGTAAGGTCTGTTCTAGCAGGAAGTGCCTATACATCTCTGGTCCTCACAAAAAAAATAGACTTCAATCTCTTTGAGTCATAGGTAATTTTTTCATGTGTGTTTTGTTCATTTTGCTTCACTTAAGGTTGCAATTGTGGCTCAAGACCTGGCAGCATTCCATACAGCCTCTTCAGAAATGGGACACCAACAACATAGCCATCATTTAGTAACTACAGAAACCAGACCTCTGACCTTAGTGGCAACGTCCAATGGCACTCAGATTGCAGTTCAGGTGAGTACAGGTTAGGTGGGCAGCAGCAGCAGTACATAGTTCTAAACCTGGCACGCTGGTTTTAGGTGTAACTTTCAGTGCTTATGCCATGCACAAAATCATCTGGGTGCCTATCTTGCTTTAAGACAATTACTGTAATGGAGGTGATCTCAGAATGACCAGAAACCAGGCAATAGAGGCGTGTGCCTTTAATCCCAGGAGGCAGAGGCAAGGTGAGCTCTCTGAGTTCAAGGCCAGCCTGCCAGGGCTATGTAGAGACCCTTTCTCAGAACACCTCCCCCCCACCTCGCCCAGAAAAAAAAAGACCCAGCCTAGGCTGGGAGTATGGCTCAGTTGGTGGAGTGCTTGTTTGGAATGCATGAAACCCTGGGGTCTGCCCCAGGACCACAAGCCAAGCCTGGTAGCTCAATCCTATAATCTGAACACGCAAGTGGAGGCAGAAAGATCAAAAGTTGAATGAAGGTCATTGGCCTAAGCTATATGAGGCCTTAATCAAAACAAACTAACAGTGTTCTTTACGACTTTGCTTAGCATATTCTTGGGGAATTTATAGCAAGAGAAAATTGTCAGGCATGTGTCCTTGTGTGTACTCAGACAGCCATCTTCACAGTCAAGATGGAGTCTAACGAGGCAGGGTTTTATGAGGCACATGAGAACTACTACTCCTTGGAGGTGAACCTGCTGTGAACAGACCCTCAGTGATTCCTCCAAGAGTGCCCACACAGCTCCAAAGTGAGGTGTGTCAGAAGACATGGAAGGAGCATTCTCTGGGGAAGAGTCCCTGTTCCCAGCAGAAAATATAAACCCTGTATGCCAGGTGCACAGACCCTCTGTATAAGGAGTGGTTTCTCCTTAGTTTACTTGACAAACAGGGAAATGCCAGCCATTAATTTTCTTTAGTGCATGGATGCAGAAGCAGGCTGCTGAGCAAGTACTCCATTGGCTGTGCTGACATGGCATTTGAAGAACCTAAAGTAAGTAAGTAATTAGAAGTTTTGATTTTATCTATTAGTAATCAAGTTAGCTAATATTTTAGCATTCCCAAGCAACAGAATTACAGAGAGAAATGACACATCTACCATTAACAATTCTCTGGATTCATCACCTAGACTAGGACTCTGGATTATTGATGTTCCGTGTGATCTGCTTTCAGCTTGGAGAACAGCCATCTCTGGAAGAAGCCATCAGGATAGCATCTAGGATCCAACAAGGAGAAACGCCAGGGTTAGATGATTAATACTCAACCACAGAGCAATAAAGTAGGAGGAAGGAGACTCCCATCTTCTGGCTGCAGAGATCCCTGAGGCCCGGCCTGGCAGAGCAGAAGTTCCATTCCTGAAGCACTGTACACGTTTTTTATGCAAGAGTGGAGAACATTTTCTTCTTGACACTTTTGTGTACATAGCCCCTGGAATAAATTCCCAAAGTGATTCATTGTGTACAAGGAAGTATGAAATTAGGGCACTACAGCAATCCTTCATGTTACTCTTTATCACACAGCAGACTTCTGGAATCCACCCACAAGACCGTCCAGGTCTATACAGAGTCAAGATGAGATTTTTAACTTACTGTGAAAAAAAAAAGGCTGTATCTAATGTGCCGAAGGCTCTACATGTCAAACAATCATAACTTCAAAGCCATCACAGAAAATAAAGGATGCAAGCCTTCAGATGTCCCTCCAGTTAGTGTCTGGATTTTTTTTCCCACCATACACCCCTTTTTATTTGTATTTCAAGAATTGAAGACCTCATTTATAGTGTCCCATCCCTGTTATATAATGCTTCTTCAAACTAAAATGCTAATTATTTTAGCATTACATTGGATTGTGTACAAAATGTAAAAGTTTGGTTATTTTAAAATAAACATTAAATCCAGTGTTGGAAGCTAGGCACGGTAGCTTGTGCCTGTAATCCCAGTATTGAGGAAGCTAAGGCAGGAGGAGTGCCATAAATTTGAGACTAGCCTGGGCTGTGTAGTGAATTCCAGGCCAATCTAGACTACAGAGTAAATACTTCCTCAAAAGACAAAGAAGGAATATCCAGTGTTTGGATTGTTACAGAGTCTACTCAGCCTTCTGATTTTTTGCTACTGTTTTTTATTGATAATCAACTATGAGGGTTTCCCATGGGTCCAGCCCAGGCTTATAGTCCTATGGCTGGAAACTGATTTACTGAAAAAACTGGGTCAGTGAGTTGTGTAAATTATTTATTTTTGTTCTTAAGCTTTTGTTTTAAAGCTTATTTACCCTAAAGTTTATTATTGATTTTGAATACAGCAGTTTTTAAAACAATACTTTCTGTTTGTTTCATTAAATTGATCTGGTGTTAGAGAAGTTGTACAAGAACCTACAATATAACAGTGTAATCCTATATACACAGGCCAAGAGTATATCCTGGATAGGCAAAGAACAAACGCTTCTCTGTATAGTACTGTGTACTCAACAGTCTTGGGGAAATTTAAGATTTATTGTCTCCAACTTACCCAGGCCTGGCAGTTCTAAAAGGCAGAACAGGCCAAGACTGGACAGCCCTGGCTTTCTGCCTCCATGTCCAGTATGGGTTTTCTACTATACCTCAGGAGCCTGGAATGTAAGGTGCTATAACGGGGGTATCAAGATGGCTTTTGTTTGATAGCTTCTGCTTGCTTAAAAGCAAGAGATGAAAGCCTTTTTTAAAAAGATTTATTTTGAGGGGCTGGAGAGATGGCTCAGCAGTTAAGAGCACTGACTGCTTTTCCAGAGGACCCAGGTTCAATTCCCAGCACCCACATGGCAGCTCACAGCTGTCTGTAAAGTTCCAGGACTTCTGACCCTCTCACACAGACATACATGCAGGCAAAACACCGATGAACAAAAAACAAAAATAAATTTTAAAAAGTTTCTTTTATGTGTAGGGGTATTTTGTTTACATGTGCATCTATGTACTATATTTGTGCAGTACCCATGAAGATCTGAAGAGGGCATCAGGTCCCTTGGAATTGGAATTGCAGACAGTTGTGAACTAACATATGGATGCTGGTAGCTGAACCCAGATCCTCTGCAAGAGTAGCTAGTGCTCTTAAAGCAAAACCATTTCTCCAGCCCCTTGGTTTTTGTTGTTTGTTCTGTTCTGTTTTGTTTTGTTTTGTTTTTGAGACAAGGTCTCACTGTATAGCTCTACTTGACCTGGAGTTTGAAGCCATCTGTGCTGGGATTGCGGGCAAAATTCCCCATACCATTGACTAATGTTGAGAGTTCAGCAAGGGACCCTTCAGGGCTTTCAAAAGGGAAGGCCAAAGGTGTCTCGGCCACCACTCCTGTCTTTCACACAGCTTGGGATGTCAGAGCCCTAACTCGGCCGCTTTTCATGCTGTTCTTTGTCCCCAACCCAACCTTGTCTAGCAAGGTAGCATGTTCCCTCAAGGTATACAACTGCTGTGGGTCTCAACAGAAACACTGGAAAGTTTTCCCGAAAATAAATCCTCCAAAGGCACTTAAAACAAGTCCACGTCAGCAAACAGCATGTTGAGTATCGGTCTGTGTGATAAGATCCAGGAGGGACTGAGTCAAATACTTCGTTCCAGGAAAAACAGCCAGCTCTACCCTGAAGTGGCTTGAGGCCCCAGCAAAAGCTGTTGCAAGCCCACGAAGACAGCAGCCCAGAGGGCGAAAGTGCTTACTGTGAAACCTGTCCTCAATCGTCCAACCCTGGAAGCTGGAAGGACAGAACTGACTGCAAAGTCATCCTCTGACACACACACACACACACACACACACACACACACACACACACACCCTTGTGATTCTTTGTTTTGTTGTGCATGGGTGTTTTCCCTGCAGGTATGTCCGTACTGCATGTGTGCTGGAAGAGGGCATTAAATCCCCTGTAACGAGTTACAAACAGACCATTGTGAACTGCCATGTCCGTACTGGGAACTGAACCCAGGTTCTCTCGAAGAGCAGGCAGTGCTGTTAACTACTAAGCCATCCCTCCAGCCCTTAATTAGTTAATTTTTAAAAAGAGAGAGAGAAAGAAAACACAGTGCCTACAGTGTGTGCTTCAGATGACTTCCACTGGCCTCCACAAACCACAAGGCTCAGAGGGCCAGGTCTTTTGCTTCCATGTCTTTCAACCCTTGGGACCAAACTAATGGAGCTCATAAGCAACTTGGAAAACTGTACTTGGTGCTGAAATGAAATTGGATTCTATTTTTTCAACCTGAGGAACTTGCCATCCAGTATTTCTTGGCTTCAGAAAGATTGCAGGCCAGGAGCTGAAGAGATGGTTCAGTGGTTAAGAGCACTTGCTGCTCTTGCAGAGGACTCAAGTTCAGTTCCCAGTACCAATGTCAGGTGACCCACAATGGCCTGTAACTCCAGCTTCAGGGTATCTGGTGCTACTTCTGTTTGCTTGTTTTTGTTTGTTTGGTTTTTGGTTTTTCGAGACAGGGTTTCTCTGTGTAGCTTTGTGCCTTTCCTGGAACTCACTTGGTAGCCCAGGCTGGCCTCGAACTCACAGAGATATCTGCCTGGCTCTGCCTCCCGAGTGCTGGGATTAAAGGCGTGCGCCACCACCGCCCGGCGCTACTTCTGTACTTTAAGGGCACATGTGGTGCACAGACATACAGTCAGGAACACACATACATACACATATCAGATAATAAATATTTTTAGGAAGATTGCAGGCCAGTTGCTTGTCAGCAACTATTTACTAGTGATCAGGCAGTGGAAAAAGAAGTGGGCACAGTGAAAAGCTGTTGCCAAGGATAGAAACCTACACTTAAGGGAGGTGGTGCATGCCTTTAATCCTAGCACTCGGGAGGCAGAGGCAGGCACATCTCTGAGGCAGCCTGGTCTATAGAGTGAGTTTCAGGACAGCCAGGGACACACAGAGAAATGCTGCCTCAAAAACAAAAAACAACAAAAAAAAGACCATAAATAAATAAATAAAAATAAACCTGCATTTCTGTTTTTAGGTACTGTGGCTGCTTGCCCAGTTGTAGTGGTTTTTTTTTGTTGTTGCTTTGTTTTTTTTTTTTTTGTTTTTTTTTTTTTTTGGTTTTTCGAGACAGGGTTTCTCTGTGTAGCTTTGCGCCTCTCCTGGGACTCACTTGGTAGCCCAGGCTGGCCTCGAACTCACGGAGATCCGCCTAACTCTGCCTCCCGAGTGCTGGGATTAAAGGCGTGCGCCACCACCGCCCGGCTGTTGCTTTGTTTTTAATTTTATATATATTGGTGTTTTGTCTGAATGTACATCTGTGTGAGGGTGTCAGATCCCCTGGAACTAAAGTTACAGACAGTTGTGAGCCGTCATGTTGGTGCTGGGAATTGAACCCAGATCCTCTGGAAGATCAGCCACTGTTCTTAACCACTGAGCCATCTCTCCAGCCCCTGTAGTGTTTTTGTTTTTTTGTTTGTTTTGTTTGCTTTTGTTGTTGTTTTCCAAAACAGGGTTTCTCTGTGTAGCCCTGACTGTCCTAGAACTCGCTCTGTAGACCAGGCTGGCCTCCAACTCAGAGATCCACTTGCCTCTTCCTCCCGAGTGCTGGGATTAAGGCATGCACCACTACTGCCTGGCAAACTTTGTATTGTTTTAAATTATGTGTATGTGTGTGTCTGAGTGTGAGTTTGTGCACATGAGTGTAGCACTTGCCCTAGGAGAGAGGAAGACATTGGATCCCCTGGACTGGAATTACAGGCTTTTGTGAGTCACCTGGTATGGGTGCTGGGAACTGAACTTGGGGCCCCTAGAACGTACATTAATCACTGAGCTATCTCTCCAGCCCACCTTAGAAGTTCTTACAAACTTCCTATGAAGTTCCATGCGACAATGGGACATGCACTTGGTACCATGCCAGGGAACACAGTGAAAGGCTGGGGAAGTGTAGGCAGAGAAAGAATTCAGCAAGACAAGAACACACAGTACTAAGTTTATTAGATGGGCTGCACCACAGCTCCAGCAGTCGAGAGAAATTGCACAAAAGTATTCTTTTTTTTTTTTTTGCTGGGAGGGGGTGGTATCTGTGTGGTCAGTCAGGCATGGGCCCAGGTCTTTGAGATGCCTGTGTAGGGCTCCTATCTGGATGACTAGGCACTATCTCATTATTTTGCTGATGAATGGGTTTTACAATATGAATTGTTTCTCTTTGGGATGGGTTTATTGTGCATAGCAGTAAAGGTCATGAGGGGTCAAACTCCTGATGGTCTGAGTCTGCTCATTAAAGACTAGCATCTTCTACAGTAGTGTCAGGGTGCCCTCTGACAGACTGCAGCTAGGCCTTGTTAAAGAGTAACTCCTTTTAATCCTTCTTGGAGGCAGCAGGGGCCGTACTCTTGAGTCTAGCCCGATCTGAGACCAAAGCAGTTGTAGTGATATATTGTGTACCCTAATAAAATTTGCCTGAAGATCAGAGAATAGAACAAGCCACTAGATTAAACATAGATGCCAGGCAGTGGTGACACACACCTTTAATCCTAGCCCGCGGGAGGCAGAGATCCTTTTGGATCTCTGTGAGTTCAAAGCCGCCCTGGACTACATGAGATTGATTCAGTCTAGGAGAGAAACAGAGCCAGGCAGTGGTGACACACACCTTTAATCCGAGTACTTGGGAATCACATGCCTTTAATCCCAGCACTAGGAAGGAAGCAATATGACTGGGCAGAGAAAGGTATGTAAGATATGAGAAGACAGGAACTAAAAGCTTTTCAGCTGAAGCCTTTTCAGCAGAAGCCCTTTTTGGCTGAAGCTATTCGGCTGGAGAGCTTTTGGCTGAGGACTCCGAGACATTCAGTCAGAGGATTCGTGAAGTTGGTGAGGTGAGATATGGAAGTGGCTTGTTCCTTTGTCTCTCTGATCTTTCAGCATTTACCCCGATATCTGGCTCCGGGTTTTTTATTATAAGACCACTTA